TGCATAAGTTTCCGTTTTGATCGTTCCGTTTGCATGGAGGTTGGTATTTCGTCATCACGTGTGCATGACGTGTACATGATACTCTTTCACCACTAGCTATCACTCACCCACCTGCATTTGCAGGCTACAATGCCGCACAATTACCAGTGCAAAACCATGTCACAGTGGTGACCAGCCCACGTCCTTCTGGGACGATGGAATCGACAAGCTGCCTGAGCCTTGGCGTCGAGTAGTGGATGATGGTGGTGCATATACTGGTACCGTGGCAAGAAAAACACTTAGCCATCGATAATGTCTGAACACATCACGCGAAGGCGACCAAGGACGAGCTGGAGAACCTTTATCGGCTGGCTGCCTCATCTTCCGCATGTGTGACTACCAGCTTTCAGAAGTTTCCAGGCTTAAACCAAAAGCGAAAAGTTTAACAACCGTCAGGATATCAAGCGTGTGGTCGATGAAGAAATCGCGTTACGGCCTGTCTCCTAGAAGGAAGGATGATCTAGATGCCCAACTGATGGAGATACATGTGGCGACAATCGCTACCGTGATTACTGCTTTTCCGTCTTCACTGTCGTTAATACGTGTTGTATGAGATGGCCGAATTTTCTCAAACCTTTCCGGACACCCTAGTACGATCAATTCACAAAATTCTGCGAGCTAAATGACTCCGAACTGGGTCAGTGAAGAGAGATCAGGGTTCTTACGGTATTAGTCAAGCCAGTGATAAACAAATTCGTTTGGGGCTGTCATGTGAAGTGATGACAACCACTGGGTCAGAGTAGCTGGACAGCGCCCAAATTCACTGAAGCTACTAATTTAGCTATAAGCGATGGAGCACAAAAGTAATCCACGGTTAGAACACGCCCACGATGATAAGAGAATGATAGTGATGTTGTGGATTTCTCCCTTGCTCTGCTCCATCTACCTCATCATAACCTCACGTCATTTTCATGTAAGCTGTCCACAAAACTCACGATGACTTGCGCATCTGCGAGAAGGGCCAACACACGCTCCAATGACGGTCCTATTGGTCTTCCCGAACGAATGGCATGTTGTAACTTGCTATAAGGCTGCGTTCATCCCCTGCGATGTTGACGTAACCGATGTTTCCAACGTAACCGACTAGTCGCAAAGTTGAAATACGTATTGATCCGATAATAGACTGAAACGGGCGTAACCGACGTAACTGG